CGCTTTGCGAATTCGAGCCGACGCAGTCCGATAAATTTACCGGCACGATGGTGACGTTTTATTTCATCATGAAAGGGGATTGCGTGCCACACTTGCATGAGCTGTTGACACGTGTGCATGTTTACCGAACAAATGTTTCATTCATCGCGACTCCTGTTCTATCGCCGATTAGACGGACTATTCTGTTGGCGCTGCCTTACAATCATCACGTACAATCATCAAGCCGGCGAATTCACGACTGGAATTTAGTCTTGATCATTAGTTGCTGTCCGAGGACAAAGGGGAATATCAAGACTGTCGTTTCCGTTATCAGGACGCTTAATGACGTTTGTTATAATAGAATGCTTTTCTTCTACTCCAGTCGGGAACGACTTCGGGAACGACTTCAAACAATTTTAACGTCACGCAATAACGTTTTCATCTTCAACAATTATTATCATTATTGTTTATTATTGGAATGGGCGCCTGCAGAAATGTCAGATCTTTTCCAAACTCAAACCGAGCGAGCGTTTTCAAAAATGTTTTATTATCATGCCCAATTAGTGGGTAAAACAAATCCCCAATTAGTAACAAAGTAACCTCATTGTGAGAATAGAATCAGTGTTCTGTCCGTAAAGTCTTCAGCATCTCCTTAACTGTCAACTTGTGAGATGTCGGCTGTTCGAGCTGTCGCCGTCAGCACGTTTATAAAATGTTGATGTTCCAGCACTTATACTATGACTTTTAATTTTATCCACGGAACTTGTTATAACTGATAATGTATAAAATTCAAAATACAGCCACATGCTCTTTCTAGAATGAATATGGATCCATATCAATCGAGTTACTAACAAGTAAATCTACTCAAAAGGTACACTCCGATTTCTTCCTAATTTGGCACAAATGTGGAAGTACAAAAAATATTTAAGTCATATTTTTTCATTTTGACCCACTTTGAGTTTTACGGGCAGTTTATAGCTTTTTAATGTTCTCACTCTGATCATCAACAAGTACAATAAAAATGCATAAGAAATAAAATTGTATACAAGATATATTTAAAGAATTTTAACAAAATCGGTGACCCACACTCCGTGGCCTCCCCTTGTCACACTGAGAGAAATGGCTTGGTGAATGACACTATACTCGTCTTATGAAAGTAATATGGTGAATTCATATGCGATATCCGGTTCGTATCCAATATTCTGGTTACGATGCCTCGACGCATCTGGTAGTCAATACCGAGAAATTTTGTTGTAGATATCTAGACAGTTTGGTAATTCTCTCTAGACATGTGATACTATTGACGCGATAGATAATTGTTACTCGCTGCGACATTTCCTTTTTCACCTATACTAATTTGTAAAGATATCGGTGCTATAAAAGAGTAAACACTAAAACCGTCAAATGGAAGAATGAAATTTCTTAAAATATGTCGAATTTAGAAGTAAATATATGAAGATTATATATAGTAAGTATATGAAAATTATATATAATATGGTTAGATTTTAGGTTAGGTAAGAAGTCTAACACTACTCCATAACTGTATTCATAACATTCACCAAATGAGTTGTATGCTATACTAGACGGTTTGGTAAACGTATTTAAGCATTACTGTAATACAACTTAGACAATGCGCTCACCAGATAGTTTAATATCATTGACTAAATATCTTGTTACACGATTATTCCATACCGTTTGGTAAACCTAAATAGAATTCTGGTTAGTATCATCAGACATTTCCCTCAGTGCAGCTATGCCGATTTTGTTAAAATTATTTAAACATATCCTGTATACAATTTTATTTCTTATGCATTTTTGTTGTACTTGTTAATGATTGGAGAACATTCAAAAGCTACAAACTGCCCGTGAAACTCAAAATGGAAAATGAAAAATATGACTTAAATATTTTTTGTACGTTTGTGCCAAATTAGAAAGAAATCGGAGCGTAACCTTTAGGTAGATTTACTTGTAAGAAAGACGAATGTCCCCATTTTGCGGGACACTGTCACTAAGGGATTCATCTTATTTTCGCGCGGGCGATAACGCGCTCTCCAGGGCGCGGGAAATTGATAAAAATTTTCATAAGAGTCGCCCGCTCGTCCGCTCGCGGGCCCTATTGAGCCTATCCGAAGAATTTAATTAGACGGGAGAATTTTTCGCGGACGTAATCGCGACGCAGCAGCCAGCCAGAGACGGATTTATCGCCGAGGTGGGCAAGGAAACTTTTCACTCTCGAAGTAATACCCGTTGTCCGATTATACCGCCGCGAGATGTTTTACGTCGCAATAAACGCTACGTGCCCCTGCCCCCCTTCTGCCTACTCTCCCCCCCGGCCGTGAGAGAGTGAGAAAGAGCAGTCGGCAGCCTTACAAGAATGCCAAGCCGGGGGAGACATGCCGACGTCGCGGTCGCGCGGAAAGGAAGGACATCGACATAAGGCGAGCCGCCGTATGCGCCTCATAAAACCCAGACGCCTAAATGCTACCCTCCTCGCCTCGTCTTGCACCCCATCTGGACCACCCTCGCGACCCTCCACGGCGGGTAACCGCATCTCATATAGGACCCTTCTCTCCACTTTCGCTGCTGGATTTATCCGTGCCCGCCCGTCGGCGAGATCCTCTCTGCTTCTTCTGCGCTATCTTCGTGGAGGACGCGGCGGTTGGGGAGAGGGAGCGGAGTGTCGATATATAGATCGGCAGGTCGGTCGTAAGAAATCGCGAGCCGGAAGAATCTCGCCCCTGCAACGCCATATGGTGCCAACGGTTTACGAGCGCGGATTCTTCGTGATGCTCGTCCGCGCGTCTTCGCCGCCGCTGCTCAGCGATATGCGACGGAACGCGCGTATCGAAGAGCACAGCCTCTTCTCGGGCAGGTCTGGGAGAAGTCTCGAAGAATTCCAATCAATTACCCGGCTGCGAGATTGAGAAATGCGTCCGGAAAGAGTAACACAAAGGCAAACGCGACGAGAGTCGTCGATCGAGCGAGTAATTTATTAATTTTTCACCGGGCCTGTGTGCCGATCACCCCTTCTGCAGTCCTGCTCTCTCCTTTTCTCTCTCTCTCTCTCTCTCTCTCTCTCTCTAGAGACGATTAATTAATTTCCCGCGTGTAATAAAACGAGACGGGGAAATTAATTTCTTCCCGACTTCATTTTCTCGACTGCACTGTCGTCGACGCCATCGCCGCGTCGTGGAAACGATCTCTCCGTCGAGCGATATCGAGGTCGCGTTTAACGAAGACTCGCGCTGTTCCCTCGTGTCATTTATCGCAGGCGAACGAGGGGTATGCAATAATGCACGTGGCGATGATATTCCGACGGAGCGTCTCCTATGCAAAAACAATTCCTATCACGTGTGAATTCCTCTCTCTCTCTCTCAGCGAAAATCGCGCAGTCTCCGGCGAGAGATTGGCGACAGGTGAGTCGACCTGACGTCAATATGGCATCGAGTTTGCGATTTGACTCTTTAAGGCTCAGTGTATATAATTATATACATTTACTTTGGGTTCTACCCCAATTTTTTATACTGGCAAGCTGATGATTTTGTCGGCATCCTACCAGCAATCCATCCTAGATAGAGCTATAAGGGAGAAAACCAATGTGGCGATCGTGTGCAGAGCAGAATCGTACGGAAAAAATGATTCTGTTGGTGCAACCGAATTTTCGGTTGCTCAGGGATCAGACGAAAGCTCGGCTGTAGGAACAGAAAAGTTCCTTTATGAGGCTTCTGTATAGTCAATTGTTCTCAGTTGCTGCAACCGAGTTTTAATATCGTTGAATGTTCAGACGAATATTTTCGGTTGCAACAGAAATATTAGTTTTTATAACAGAGATATCGCTTCTGATCGCCTAATTTTCAGTTGGTTCCTATTTGGTTGCACCAACTGAAATTTCTTTTGCATGTATTTCTAAGACAGTCTTATAATAATTACTGTATTACAATAAATGTTACTCGAAAACGGGGTTCATGCGTGGGCCTTAAAGGGTTAACTCGCGAGGATGCGTGTTTTTTTTTTTTTGTTATTTCCCTCTCTTCTCTCTTCTTGTCCGTCTCGCTTTCACTTTTCGCGCGACACACGCTCAACAATGATGAAACCGGGTCAGCGACTTTTCATCGAGGAATTCGAAGAACCCGCGCACACATCGCGCGACATCGCCGTGCACTCTAGATAAAAGCCGTGTCCACTGTCCCGTCGTCGTTATGAGACAAACTAACGCGAACTAGCTCTAAACCGTCGCTTGGACGACGTCCAACGATATTAACGTTCGAATCGCATGCCTGGAGCCGAGATGAGCGTACGTTTTTCGTCCGCGTTCTTTCCGAAACGTACGCGCCGCCGTTAATGTCAACGCCGGCTACGTCAGCGTGGTGGAATTTCGTTTCGCGAATATCGTGAAACGCCAGTACATACACACACACACACACACATATGTCGACAAAGCGTAATTCTCTGCGCATCTCCTCGAGAAAAACCGATTGGATCGACGCGGAACGAGAAACGAGACTCAGAAGAACCGATTCATCACGGGCTCCTCTCTACCTGGATTTGGCCATTGCATTCGTTCGTCCGGTCCACTGCATATAGAATTATTCGTAACGCGTCCACGGGAATTTAAAAAAAAAAAAAGAGAGAGAGGACAGCAGCGATCCGACACGCGGTATTAACGTTCGCGCGACCGTGAACCGAAATTCCAGCAAATTCGCGCGCCCGAGTATGCGTTACGCAGTAGAAATGTATCAGTGAGTGTGTACGCGTATTAGTTAACGAACCGCGTCGATTCGCGAGAGGGAAAGGTGATGAGGGTATCGCGCAACGTGTCCGTCGGGAAAATATATGACGTCTGATATTTTTGGATTTAACCAGCCGGCCGATCGTCATCGCTCCGCATCTTCTTCTGCCTCCATCTCGACGCGGTGAGGCATCGCGCGAGGCGAGACGTGGACGTAGACGGGCGCCGCGAAAAATGCGTCACGCCGTTCGCGCCGGATTATCGTCGCGTACAATCTGCGTATGGTACTTACACATGCTTTCACCGAGCGGCCAGATTTGCGGACCGGAATTCACCTCTATGAGCACGGTGGGCGTGCAGATCACGAGCACGCAGAGGTCGGCGACGCTGAGATTCACCAGGAAGATATTCGTGCTGTTCCTCATGTCCTTGCCGCGCAGCACGACCAACGGCACCTGGACAGGTGTTACATCCGAGAGCTCATCAGCGATCATCGATTGAGGAGCGAAAGAGGGAGAGAGAGAGAAAGAGGAAAAAAGAGAAAGAGGCAGACAGAGAGAGAAAGAGGAATATTTCGACCACCCTTGACACATCTGAATATTTTCTCGAATAATTGAATACCTTACACTGAAAAGGAGATTTTGTCGCCTAAAATTTGGTGCAAAATTTAGTCAAAATGGGACGAAACAAATGTTTGATAACTGCAACCGAAAAATTTTACTGTCGTGTTTCTCAATAATATACTTGACGTAAGTAAAAGCATTGTAATGCCGATCCAAATCGTATAAACGAAATATTTTAGCTCCAAACGCAAAAATAACATTTTTCAGTGCAGTTTTTCGTAACAATTTATTGCGGAGTAAATGCAAGCGTACAGTATCGGTTACAAATCAATTTGCGCATCTGTTTTTTATCGAGTAAATTTGCAACACTTCAAATTGTCAGATTGAAAAATTGCTGCTGACATGTATATGCGCAGTAATTGATTATAAATATACAAGATTTATCTCTCGAAATAACGTCCTCTAAATTTGCAAGAAATTCTTTCTTTCAAATTTCACAAAAATGTCATGTTCCCTTAAGCCTGATCTACAATATGCTCTTTGCTTCTTGCTTCTTTCTCTTTATCTTTTTCTGACTCAAACCTTAAGCTTTAAGCCAGAAAAAGGCAAAAGACAAGAAATGCAAAAGACAAAATGCAAAGAGCATATTGTAGATCACACTTTAGTCTCCTATCGTAACCGATTTTACTGTGCACACACGTTAGCAGTGGCTTTTAATCCTGACGAATTGCAGCTTCATTCGATAAAAACTTGTGCAAACCGATCTGCAACTGGTTGTACAGAAGAATGACTTTACCTCGAGGGCTCGAGAATCCTGGAAGAGGATATGGTCTTCTCTTGTTTCGTACGAGAAGATAAGTCACGAGCGCTTATTTCATGACTTGACCTTGTTACGCGGTTGTTAATGTTTGAAAATAGTTCTCAGAACAGGATTGGGTGACCTAATCTATTTTCCGACTCAAAGTTGAACCTGTCGTCCTGCGCCCCGGCTTTCGGTCAGATATTTCTGTGATCTTTCGTTCATTATCCGAATAGTTAACCCTCAACCCCGGTTGGTGGTAAATTTCTCGACAAAGAAAACTTAAAAATTCAATATTTCTTTTCTTGTCAGGAAGATGACGCGTGGTCTGCTATACTCTCTACCAGTTACAGCGCCAATCGTGTTCATTTTGAAATTTTCGAGTGGGCTTGGACGGACAGTGCACGAATGCAACGCGCTTTGTTTTGTAGAAAAAAAAAATAACGATGAGAACTGCAATAACTATTGTTTATCGAAAAACTTGTCACTTGGAGGGTTTGCTGGGCATGATATATTGCAAAACATGGCGATGCCGGTCGCGCGGCAATCGACAAACTCTATAAAACTGTTTTCAATCGTCGGCACGATCTACCGGTATTTCAAAGCCATCGGTCACCGACGCGAAAAAATATTAAAAAAAAGATATTCGAAAGATTCGAGCCTCGTGTGTACACGAATGCGTGACACCGAGGAGATTAATGATGTGTACTCAATAGACCAATCTTTCGGGATGCTTCCGCGACCTACTTATTATCTCCTACGCCTCTTTTCGCGATTGGTGCTTGCAAGTCGCGATCACGCATCGTAATCTAAAAACAAGGCAGAAATTGAACAACGCTTTTAGGTATTCGCGTCGAGCGTACCGCCGAGATTCTTCAATTCTGATTTTAATGACAGATCCTTAGATCAATCTGGGGCTTATTTCCTCTCTCTCTCTCTCTCTCTCTCTCATTCTTTCTCTCACGGAAAAAATTCCGAGCCGCCAATGGTGCTTACTGTGACCGTGACGAAGTGAGAATTTCGAACTTACCATCAGATTGCCGACTATACCCAGGATCATCACGATAATGCAGGCCACCATCGAAGTCGTTCGGATGTAAGCAGGCAGCATGTACAGCGTGGAAGTGGCGTTCTCCGGCTCGACCACTGGAATTATGCAATTATGCGATTTTTTTTCTCAAGATTGCCTACATTGACGCAAAAAAAGAAATATATATATATATATATATATATATATATCAAGTTTTTATAAGTGCATCAGTTTCATTAATGCAATAAAGACAATACAAATGTTTTCTCTGGCTTACATTATTTTATGTTAAAACGTAAAA